TGCCGGCCCGGCAGGTCCACCGATGACGTGGTATGGACACACCGTTGGTTTGCTGCGAAGTGCCAACGACATCAGTGGATCATTAACATCCTGGGTATAGACATGTCAAAGGCGTTCGACAGCATCCGGCGTGACAAGCTAATGATGGTTTTGAAATCACCCCATGGACACGGATGAAGTACACCTCATCAGGTATCTTCTAGCAGACACGCACATGACAGTGCGGGTGGGTAGAGAGTGCTCCTCGGTGTTCACGTCAACGATCGGCACGCCCCAGGGTGATGCACTGTTCCCGGTTCTGTTTGTTGTGTACCTGGAAGCTGCACTGAGACAAGTCTATGTCCAGGCGCCAGAAAGAATTACGGCTGATACTCTCCTTCCTGTAGAACTCGCATACGCTGATGATGTCGACTTTGTTAGCACCTCAGCTCCGTGGTTACAGGATCTAGAGAAAGTCATCGTCGAAGTCCTCGCAGACTGGTTCCTGACAGCGAACCCCGATAAAACGGAACATACGATTCTCAGGCGTGACATGGACAGAGTGGGTGAAAAGTGGCGAATTTGCAGGAAGCTCGGATCATTGATCAGTGAGGATGTTGTGCGGCGCAAGCAGTTAGCAACTGCAGCATTTATGTTGTGCGGTGCAAGTAGTTAGCAACTGCAGCATTTCGCTCTATGTGGAGCTTATGGAAGCGTCGTACCCATGTCAGTGAGTGTCTACGACTCCGGCTGTACTCAGCATTTGTCCTGCCAGTTCTCCTGTATAACTCGGGAACAGGGGGCCTGACACCAACAGTATCTGTCCGTCTTGATGCCTTCCATCGTCAGCAGTTGAGATCTCTGCTTGGCATCCAATGGCCACAGAGAATCTCCAACAATGAAACGTATGAGAGAAGCGGGACAACAAAACTCAGCGCTTTGGTCAAAGAGTCAAGATGGCGCTTGTTCGGTCACATTTTGCAGCAAGCCACCACCATTCCAGCAGCAATGGCCATGCATCTCTATTTCACGGCTGAAGCCAATGGTGGATGGCGTGGTTGCCCTCGCACTACACTGCCAACTGCTCTTCATGCTGACATCATTCAGGCTGGACAAGGTAGCCTCTCAAATGTGTCAGACTTGGATCATCTGTGTGAAATCGCCAAGGATCGCCCTTTAATGGCAACAGCTCTGCAAGAGGATTTGCCAAGTGTAATATCTACAAGTAACACTGAGAAAAAATACCATTCATCAACGAAAAGATTCAACGTCAATGTCAATATCATCATATCGCTCCAATATCATCATGTTATCGGTAATGACTGAAACATTCAGGTGATGGCCAATGACTGAAATAATAGCATCTTTAATATAATAGCATCTTTAATATCACTCCAATATCATTTATCACTACTGAATGAATGAACAATCATTTTCTCGTCTCAGCCACCGGAATGCGAATTCCTGTCCATGTGTTTTAGCTAACATAGCAGGCAGAGTACATTACACCTTCACCATCCAAGCACATACGCTCCTCTTTGTTTTTTGTTTTTGTTTTTGTTCGACACCTCTGTTTGATACCATTTGATGCAGTGTCTCTTCCTCTTTTCAGCATAAGCGAAAGTGTGGATCATTGATCGACTCTAACGCGTACATGCAAACAATAATAAATAATACAGAAACACGGCCATACATGCATTAGCAGACGCCAGCAAGCACAGAGACACGTCCATAACCATGCTAATTAAGGAACAACACAAGACACATCACATACCGGCTTGGCAGTTTATAGAGACAAGATCGTCTGTGACGTATCTGCCGCTTGGCGTATGATAGCTTGGTGCGGTGCCTGCAGCATTGCCGCGGGCAAACAGTAGGTAATGTTCACCCTGGATACTCTTGTCGAGTTCGTCTGAACTCTGACATGGAATGCTGAAAGCAATCTCCAGCACTCCATTGGTGCGGCTGCCACTGCCGCTGCCAGGGATAACTTGACTGTCAGTGTCAACTCTCGGCGGACTGTATCCCGATGCCCAGCTACAAGAAACACACACAGGTATAATAACGTGTGTGAACACAGATGGGAATGTAATGGTGGAACAGTACAGAAATTATCACGGAGCAACATTGGCATTGGAATTTTATTTCAAAGATTCTTCAAAGGTGGATGCCTATCAAGGAAGTCTCATGATAATATTACTGTGTATCGTTGTGCAAACCATATAATAGACCCTAGTCCCTAGACCCTAGACGCTGGACCCTACACCCTGGACTGTGGACACTGGACCCTAGACCCTGGACTCTAGACCCTGGACCCTAGACCCTGGACTCTAGACCCTGGCCTCTAGACCCACCCTAGAGTGCTCATGGCACTCACAGAAAGCACCTCATTGACAGTGACATAAATCTCAAATTCCAATCAAGGAAACAAAGCAAGCATCTGAAAACGTCACCCTACTCACCGATCAGTCACAAGGACATTGTTATTATCAAGCAGGATACCAAGTATAACGTCAGAAATTTGCTGTAAAAGCAATAGAAAGAAAGACAGGCAGACAGACAGACAGGCAGGCAGACAGACAGGCATGCAGGCAGGCAGACAGACAGACAGACAGACAGACAGACAGACAGACAGACAGACAGACAGACAAGAGAGGAGCAAAGAATATAGCAAAACAGACATATTTAGATACTTCATACACACAGCTACAATTGTACGGACATGGACAAACACTCACACTCGCATGCAAGCACAAACACGCACACACACGCACACACACGCACACACACGCACACACACATACACACAGCATCTCATCCAGTGTAAGTCATCTACATAAGCAAACAGACTGGAGAAGTATTCTAACTTCAGGAACTGAGACAGTAGCTCAAGCACTGGAATATGTTACTAGTATACAAAAGAAATATTGATGGACTAAGACAATCCTGAATTATTTCCATGTTTCGGGTTGCCTTTCTGACCGTCTTTTCCCATGGGACCACAGAATATGTTAACCGGTAGCCTTGCAAGTACAACAGAAGCATCATTACTCCATTGCTTCTCTGCTCTCTACACTGCAGGTGCATTGTGGGACAATCTCCCCCGATACCCCTGTGCCTGCAAGACCCAGGTGCGGGCCTGGTGGGGTCCTGCCAGTGCTGGCTGACAGGCTGCAGAACAAATTGAAGAGCTACGCCATGACAGGTTTGGCCTGAATGCCTGCATATCTGGCCACACCGAGAATAAAGGAACTTGAGCGAATGACAGCATTCTAGCTGAGTAGAGCGACCTGAAACAACAAATTGATTCCGGACGGCCTAAGATGAAAAGAGTCACTGAAATATTTTGAGATGAAAGAAATCAAGTTTCATTTAATCTTAAGAACTAAGTATCTCCACTCATGAACAAAACTCTAACATCAGTAAATCTCACAATGGTTCTAAGCAAAATTCTCAAGACCTCTACCTCTTCTTACCATGCGACGATTATCAGATATTCCCACAGCCAGCCAAGAATTCTGTGACTCAGCCGTCCGCAGTACAAAGCGCACACTCTGCGTGTCCGGGTCCACAGTCCATGTGGCATTGATGGTTGGCCCGACAAACCTGCCAGCTGCGTTCCGCCAGGAACAGGATCAAACAAGAGAATGCACCACAGCAAGCACTCGAAACAGTGCCATAAACTCCAATCACAAAAAATGCCCGATGGAATTAAGATAATATTAACCCACATGCATGCACGCATACACACAATAAAACTTAAAACAACCAAAACATCAATATGCACATTTATCCAGACACGCTCTCACATACACACGCACGCATGTGCGTGCCAAACGTACAAAACGTGGACACATGTACACCAAACAGATAGAATACAAGGAAGTGGGGTTTGCCATAGTTTTTTTCTTCAATTTTGTCTGATAAATATTTACGAGACTTTGCATCGAGCGACACCGTGGATAACATTGAGCCAAGAATTATGCAATAAACCAGAAGAGATATCTCTTTACAAGTAGGCAAATAAATGCGTAGGTGCCCGGCAACAGCAATCGGGCGAGTCACAGCAATGTACGTATTGCAACTTCAATGATACACATACACGGTTGACCACCCATGCCTCCATTTTCGGCGGGTCAACCACATGGTGGCCCGGCAACTTCAAACGGGAACACACCGATACAACATACACAGTTGACCACACATGCCTCCATTATCGGCGGGTCAACCACATGGTGGCCCGGCAACTTCAAACGGGAACACACCGATACAATAGACACAGTTGACCACCCATGCCTCCATTATCGGCGGGTCAACCACATGGTGGCCCGGCAACTTCAAACGGGAACACACCGATACAATAGACACAGTTGACCACCCATGCCTCCATTTTCGGCGGGTCAACCACATGGTGGCCCGGCAACTTCAAACGGGAACACACCGATACAATAGACACAGTTGACCACCCATGCCTCCATTTTCGGCGGGTCAACCACATGGTGGCCCGGCAACTTCAAACGGGAACACACCGATACAACATACACAGTTGACCACCCATGCCTCAAACCGGCGGGTCAACCACACAACAACATACAGGTGTCACAACACTGAGACAGTACAACACAACACTGAGAGGCAAATGCATTTGACCCTCCCAAAAACCAGTGTTTACGACCAAGCATTTCTCACGGCATCGCTCATTAGCATAACTTCCTGCAAGTAACCATGGCAAACCCCTAAGTGATACCCACAGAGCCACACCGGCACAAGGACTGCACAACAAGCGGAAGGCACAACACTGTACAACACTACAAATGTACCTCACTTCTGTTCTCAACACCACATGGGCGTGGGCTGTTCCAGTCTTTGCTGCTAGCCATTGCACAGAGGGTATACCGGCTGCACGCCTGACATAGTGATCGGATGCTGCACTTCGCCAGCAGCCTGCACGGCATATGGCTGCTTCACAGACACTTGTACTCCGGTGAGCTATGAGTGTGGCCCCGCCAATGCGCACAGAATGGGAGCTCACCCGGTTGCAGTTGAGGATCCTAGTCGAGAAAACTCGGGAGAAGTAGCCGCCGTCGACGAACACAAACACTGGCCGTGAGCTGCCGGCAGTAGCGGTCAGGGACCGGAACTCGGCCATAGCCGAAACTGGGTACATCAGATTATGTGTGCGCAAATACCGGGCTTAAAGGTCTGAGTCGCTCATGAGATCATTGCTGGCAGCAATCAGAGCGGCGAGTTCAGCGGAGGAGTTGGCACCAGGCACTGGTTGGCTGTGGAAGCCAGTTCTCGGAAGCGAGTAATCACAATAGGTTCATGCTGCATCTCAGCGGCCCGTTGCCCCAAAAACGATTGTCCTTGATAGAAACCGCAGAAGCCAACATCAGAGGCATCCGTGAATAGCTCAAGGTCAGGGGACTTTGAAAACTCGACATCGTAGAAGAAGGATTGGCCATTCCAGTTTGCGGCAAAGGAGCGCGACCATTCGATGTCCAAGTGAGCTTTTGTGTTGATGTTGACTACTGACTGAAGAGACTGAGAGAGTTGTCCAGCTAAGATACAGGAGTTGACGGATGAAGGTCCTGCCAGGAGGAACCACCTTTGCGGCAAGGACAAGGTTCCGATCAGCGACAGCAGTTCCCGCGTTGTGTAGCTAGTGCGCGTGGACTACTCACTCAAAGCCGCTAGAAAGGCAAATAACTTCTTGTCAGGTAGCCGCATCACCTGGTCCTCGCTGTCGACTTCTATGCCAAGTACCGTCACCACTGTTGCTGGGCCGACCACCTTGCTGAGGTTGTTGAAGACCTGCGGAACCGTTGCTTTCAGTTGAACTCATTCCATTAACCATCAAGCACACGAACATAAGCACCTTGTTAAGTGCAGCGTACTGGTTCTTGTGCTGGCCTGCACAGCTATCAGGAATAGTTTTACCCAGAATGACTGGGTTGATGATTTCTCCCTGAGATAGGGTAATGCCACGTGCACAGCAGATGTGGTGCATAACGAACGCACAGTGGGCATAAAATCTTCATATCCACATCAAAGGCCACAAGCGTTTGACAACCACACCTGATACGTAGATGATCAACGATCGTCCCTGCACTCAACGTCGCTCCAGCAGTAGTAGCATGTTGCAAACCACCGTCGTACGTTGTCCATGTAAATGCCTCTGCTCCTTGTCTACTTCTTTGGCTAGATTTTTTGACAGGTAATCACAGCCATTTCTGAGTTGGCGTCAACGCCACTCGCCATGTCGAGGCCTAAATAACTGGTCCTCTGGCCTCTGCTTCGAGTAGTTCTTGCTTGGCCTCATGAACTCCAGGAAATTCACTACTGCGACCATGAGCTACTCTATCTGCCCACGCAACAAATAAATATTTCAACCAAGCGCGATCGATCGCTGTTTGAAGTTGTGAATTTTCAAGCGCTTCCAGCTCATACGAGTCAGCGCTTGTCTACGCAGACTAGCACAACTAATACTCTTGTACAGCTTGGCGGAGAGACAAAGGAGAAAACGGAGAAAACACAACCTTGAGTCACTTTGGCTAACTGGATGACAGAAATTGTTGACAAGGAAGTTGCTTTGCTGACACGAGGCAGGGCAAAGCGGCCACGCAAGATTTATTTTTTCATCCACCATTTTCGGAAAAAATATTTTTTATTCATGTGCCGCGTGACGAACCGTGACAAAACACGTGCATGCATGGGCTAACTTGGCTTTGCTGCTCAAAGCCGTCATATAATACAGTAAATGTACTGAGAAGACATGATCAAAGTGGTTTGCTTTAGTCCCTATAGAAAAGCTAAAAGCTTTGGTAGTGTAATACAGTAAAACCTGTAACTAAAGACCACCGTGACCACCGTGACCACCGTGCAGACCTTCGTGTAAGAAAAATCCAGGGGAGTGAACAATCACTCTCGTTATCCTCTCAAGGAGAGTGGTGGGAGAGCAGTCCCCCACCACCCCCCCCCCCCCCCCCCCCCCAAAAAATAGCTCGCCTTATCTATCCAAGGCGAGCACAATACGGGTCTTTCAACATCTTGCCATACGGTACCCCAATCGGATTCAATACCCTGCCAAATTCTTTCTGGACAATTACCGTACGCACTACAAATGGAAGCTGTTCGGACCACAACTTTAGTTTCCCTTCATCAATTTTGACAATGAATCTCAAGCATTCTGGAAAGCTATTGGCAAGAGGAACACACCAGTGGGATTTTCATCAGCTAGAGTGCTACTGCAGTGGCACTATACTATCTATCTATAGGGGGATAGCCCTGGGAAGACACGTGCAACGGGAAATTGAGGCAATTCGCAAGATCCATGGTATTTTTGTAGCATTCATCGTAGAGCGCTCCTTTCTTTTGTAGCTGACCGCTAAAGACCTGTGCCTGACGTCAAACAGGTCTATGCATGTCCGGACTAGGAGTCTAGGCCTGTCACCACTGGTCACGCAACAGAGGGAAATCCTTCATGTCAAAAATAATAATTATTATTATTATGATTGCGGAAGTGAAAATTTGCAACGGGACGTAAAATACCTTGCGAGTGCCGTAACTCCACTATTCGACCTCGGATCGACTTCAGATGTGTTGGAGCCGACAGCTGAGAACTTCCTAATGCGAATAGACATTTCGATTACTCAATTCCGTTCAGGGAAAGCCGAGTTACGAAATATTTGAGTGTGTGCAGAATGCACAATCATAGTGATGCGGATGCGCTCGAAGTTCTCAAGGCGCGCGACGAAAAGTGCGCCCAAAATGAAAATAAGGAGAGCGAAGGCGTGCGAGAGCGATCGCTCTCCTTTTACCAGATGGTCTGCCGTGACTAGCAACCAGCCTGGTACTACCGACCACCTCGCCAGGCACGAACGGTCCCACATTCAAAATGCACTGTGACTAGCGACTACCTGCTGAACGCAACCAGCGACCGCCTTTTCTTGTCCCAAAGACGATTTTTGACCCGTAACTAGCGACCGTGATGTAGGAAATCAATGTTGCTCGAAGTTCCTTCTTGACATTTTGCTGATTTTCCATGGTCCTGAAATGACTCTTTCGATACTTCAGCTGAACAAATGAACGCAGCTCATTTTGACTGTGGAGTCGGTGTGGTCTGCACTACGCCTGTCAAAATTTCAAGCGCTGTCAAGGATAAACATGATAGGAAACGTCTGATCGATGTTACTACTCGGAGGAGAAACGAGGACTGAGCGGCTCTGTCACCCCAGTCATATAAATGAATCGACGATGGCATCAAGGAATTCAGAAACAAAGCAGCACCTCAAGGTCATGATGCTGAAGGATCGCGTTCAAGCAATCGAGAAGTCACAACAAGGAAAGTCGGAACGACTGATCGCATGAACAAAAAATTTGAATCCCAGCGCAAAACGTAACTTCCACAAGGAACGTTTGACTCCTGGCTGCAGAAGTAGCAGCTGAATTTGATGTCTTCAAAAAAATTAATCTTCTCTCTGTCTCTCTCTCTCTGTCTCTCTCCATCTCTCCGTCTTTCTCTCCAAGTGTTGTTTGACCTGAAATAAGAATGGCATTGCGCAGGTCCTGGGGCAAATAGCTGCATTTTGACATACATATCATATACATAGTTTGGATGAGGAACTGACATGCCCTCTGACTCCTCTGGAGTCCTCTGACTCCTTTGGAACACCCTATGTCTCAATTGCTCCAACCAGTACCGTCTGTTTTTAGTGTAAGTTCGTTCAATGTTCGTGGTCTATCGTCCAACACGAAAAAGCAACTGCTGGCCGAGGACCTGCGTTGCTATAAAATTCAAATTTGTTCTCTGCAAGAAACGAAAATTCAAGACGGCTACGACGGAGTTCACGGCGACTACAGGATTGTGTGCCTCTCCTCGACTTGCCGATATTATGGAAACGGCTTTGCTATACACCACTCGCTCCTCGATAGAGTGTATCGAATCTGGAGCGAGTCGGATAGAGTTGCCGTTCTGCAAATTCGACTGTCAAAAAATAAACTATTGTCGCTCGTCAGCGTGTACGCGCCGACGTCGACTAGAGTTGCGCAGGACCAAGACTGCCTAGACGACTTCTACTCCTCACTCAACGCTGCAGTTGCCAAGGTAAAATCTTCATCTATCTTCCTCGTACTCGGTGACTTCAATGCCAAGCTCGGAACACAAAATAAATCACTCCATCAATGCATTGGGCGATACGGAAGACGACAGAATTACTCTGGCAAGGTCCTTGCTGACTATTGTGACTCGGCTTCCCTATTCGCCTGCAGCACAGCTTTTCAGCACCCAGCACGGCACTGCACAACATGGACAGGATGGAGAAAGAATAATTCAAGTGGCGGAGCCCCCATTCCCATCTATAATCAAATAGACTATATCTTGTGTTCCACTCGTCAGCGCCAGCTCTTCACAGATGCCAGATCTTACGCTGGAACCCTGCTGGACTCGGACCACCGATTGCTTGTGGCACGAATGAAGCTGGACCGGTTGCGTGGTGTGTGGGGCCCAATAGAGCACGCTAAGAAACAGCGAGTAGGCATGAAAATTGCTGTGGATAGGCTGTCCGATCCACGCATACGGAAGGAATATCAGTCCGCTCTGGAAAATGCTATTACCCAACACTGCAGCTGCAAGCCAGAAACAAAGCTAGCCCCTCAGGAGCTATGGGATCAGGTACATACGACTGTGATGGAAGTGGCCAGCGCTACCCTGGGAGCATCAACAAGACCGCCAAAAGGAAAATGGATACCTGACCCACAGCTGACGGCTATGGTTCAAGAAAAGCGGAAAATCCGGCTTCAACTGATGAATACCCCTGATGCAGCAGTAGCAGCACGTCTGAAACTCCACAAAAACCAGTTACCTCATCAAGTTCGCAGGCAAGCCAGAGACAATGCAAGCAGATTATTGGACGGTAAGGTGGCGGAAATTGAGAACCAGAAAGATGACGCGCGCATGTTCAAAGCTGTGCACCTGCTCCAACGAAAGAAACAACAACCCATCACGATAAATGATGCCAAAGGACGACGGCTTTTGAACTCTCAAGACATAGTTGGCGGAATCACGAGTCATTTCCAAGAAATGTTCACTCAGCCTAACACTACCATCCAAACAAAAAATACAGAAAAATTTGCAAAAGAAATCACACAGCAGGAAATCACATCAGCAGCAAGGCGCCTTAACAACGGCCGTGCGACCGGGCCAGACAACATGGCAGGCGAACTTATCAAGTACGGGCCTGCCCCTCTTCACCATGCTCTAGCTCGGATATACAATGCAGCTATTTCCAACAATGAGCCACTCTGTATTGGCGACGGGACTCTTATCCCGCTACAAAAACCTGGCAAGGCCAGGGGGCCCCCATCAAACCTGCGACCAGTAGTACTGTTGACGGTGTTGCGCAAGGTGTTGTCACTTGTGGCATTGTCCCGCGTAAGCAGAAAAATACATAAATACTTATCTCCCACCCAGAGCGGTTTCAGGCCTAACAGAAGCACCTCGGACGTAATATGGTCCTACCGTTGGGCTATAGCCCGATGCCAACGCCTACAACAGAAGTATGACATTATCGGTATCGACATGTCGAAAGCATTCGATACCATCTCGCGTCCGAAACTGATCGATGTTCTTGCGTCATTCCTTGACAACGACGACGTTACACTGATTTCATATCTTCTGCAGCACACCACCTTGCAGGTTCGATTGCCGGGAACGGATGGCATTAAGTTCAAAACCGACAGAGGCACCCCACAGGGGGACTCATTATCTCCTGTGCTATTCATCGTATATCTAGAAGCAGCCCTGCGGGACGTGCGAAATATCTTACCGATCCGGCCACAACTCGACATCAACCTGCACCTCCCAACTGACACATCATATGCTGATGATGTTGACTTTCTGTCATTTAGGGGAACTGACCTCCAATCATGCCTCCCTGTTATTGGGGACACCTTAAAGCAATGGGATTTGACAGTTAACTCCGCCAAGACAGAATTCACCCATATCGAGAGGTTCAGCGACTGCATTGCAGAAGAATGGAGGCTGACCCGGAAGCTGGGATCGCTACTGGGTGACAGGGAAGATGTATCTCGGCGTATGCAGCTGGCCACAGGTGCGTTTCAACGGCTTTGGGCACTGTGGGTGAGAGGCTCGCAGGTGAGAGAGAACAGACGTGTCAAGCTATACAATGCATTTATCACACCAATACTCCTGTACAATTGCTCAACATGGGGAGTACCAAGCAATGTCATCAAGCGATTGGAAGCATTCCACAGACGTCAATTGAGAACAGTCGTCGGGATCAAGTACCCTCAAGTCATCAAAAATAGCGAGCTGTATAAACGCACCAACTCCCAGCCCCTTGGGGAAACCATTGTGAGAGCGAGGTGGCGGCTCTTTGGCCATGTCCTGAGACTAAACGACGATGTACCAGCACGCGTTATGATGGCAGCATACTTCGAAAACCCAAGTTCCGCTGCCACCTGGCGGGGCCGGCCACGTACCACTCTGCCACTGAGTCTGCACCAGGACCTGCAGCGTATCGGGGGTCGCTCAAGAAACGCGAGGAACTTGAGAACCTCCATGCCATCTCCCAGTCACGACAAGACTGGAAAGACCTATGCAGCAATGTGATAAAAGCATACATCAAAGCCTAATACTGCTTCCACCTGTGGCGGCTGCATGGCCGTACGGTGTACCATAACATAACTCATTGACTAACATATTTTGTGAAAATATTATCCTGTAAAAGAATAGGAATGTAAACAATATACCTGTGAAAACACAACCTTGAATGCTACTAACACAACCTGTGACTACAATAATCATGAGATCAACCCCAAAACATTTCTTGCAGTTTACTTTCGTAGAGTTTGCAACTTTGTGTTCCTCAACACAACTTGCAGCTTTCTTCAAAAATATCCTCAACCTTGGTTCAGAGGGTACCAGGTTCAAGTCCTGCTTGGAAGCGGAAGGATTTTTTCCAGCCGTGCTGCGACCCACAGTTAATTGGGAACTCGTGGCCTGGCACGAGGAAAACATGGATGCAGTGAATGGGATTTTCGGTCTTTGACCACTTGCTGGTGAGCTGATCTACTCACCTCCCACCGCTTTAGGAGCTGCATCTGCGCCTTGATCCTTGAAGGGTGGTGGCGTTCCTACGGATGCGGAAAACCCGGCTTCCAGCCGAGTCTCACGCGAACCGTGAAATTAATAATTTGGTTCTGTCCTAGATCGTGTATACATACATTCATTGTTACGTCTCATCATTATGGAGCAGCTTATGCGAAGGCTAGCCAAGCTTGCTTGGCGATGCCAACGCGGAAAAGCCTATAATAATAATAATAATAATATCATATACATGTAGGTGGGATCCATATGAGAGGCGACCCCAGGGGTGGTTGTTCACTTCGACCAGCTTCTCGGCGATCTCTTCTGCGACTCTGATCTTGATTCGTCGGTCGCCACATCGTGAACGACTGCGAGAGAGATCAGTAAACTGGACGAAGCAATGCTGGTGCTGCTGCTTGAGTTTCTGGATGACACATTTGCTAAAATTCTGCCCAGGAAACAGCGACTGCAGCGATTTCAATCCGCCAGGAGGCAATCAAGAACGATCGCCCAGGAGGTTCTTGAGCTCCGTGACAATTCTCCATCGCATTGGGGTTTTGATATCAGCACCAGGCCGTCTCTGTGTTGCGCGTGAAGCAACAGGAGTCCTCAGATGACGAAATTTGGACGCGAAACGCTTTAGTCATCTAGGATTCTGAGGCGCTGCCTCCTTTGGAGTTCGAGCCATTCCTTCTTCAACATCACAAATCGACAACTGAAAGACAGTGTTATATAGCTGTAAAGTATATTCCGTCCTGAGATTATTGAATTTTTTTGGTAGATGTTCAAAGCGAAGCGCACATTTTAATAAGTCGGACCAAGTAAATGTATTTACAATTTATCTGAATAGCATTTCCATCAACTGATTCAGGACTATGATGACAAAGCAAAAGCATTATCTAAGCCACCAACCACAAAAACAGTTTACTGTAAAACCCGGAAAGTCTAACGAGTCACAAAGTCTAACGTTTTAACAACCAATTTTTTTTCTTTATTTAAAGAAACGTTAAGGCGACATGTTTGTGTAAAGATGCGCATACAGATGGATGGCCAGGTAGCCATTGTTAAACTTTCTGCACGTTATCATGCCAAAATTACAAAAAACGTTAAACTTTCCGGTTTTACAGTAGTCACAAGATGAGTGAGTAACTCACTTGTTTGTGCACTGCTTGTTTCCGTCAACATGCTGGTTGTCGGAAGAGCTGCTGGAGTGGTTGTTGGTGGGCGTGGTGGAGTAGTTGTCGGAAGAGCTGCTGGAGTGGTTGTTGGTGGGCGTGGTGGAGTAGTTGTCGGAAGAGCTGCTGGAGTGGTTGTTGGTGGGCGTGGTGGAATAGTTGTCGGAAGAGCTGCTGGAGTGGTTGTTGGTGGAGCTGCATCCAAGTACATACACAAAAGTCAAGCAAGAAGTTCACAGTCTTCAACCAGTCACATTCACGTGCTGTAAAGTCGAACTGCAACTCTCTGTCTCTCTGTCTGTCTGTCTGTCTGTCTGTCTGTCTGTCTGTCTGTCTGTCTGTCTGTCTGTCTGTCTGTCTGTCTGTCTCTCTCTCTCTGTCTCTCTCGCTCTCTCTGTCTCTCTCTCTCTGTCTCTCTCTCTCTGTCTCTCTGTCTCTCTCTGTGTCTGTCTCTCTCTCTCTGTCTCTGTCTCTGTCTCTCTCTCTCTGTCTGTCTCTCTCTCTCTCTCTGTCTCTGTCTGTCTCTGTCTGTCTCTGTCTCTGTCTCTGTCTCTCTCTCTCTTTCTTTCTCTGTCTCTGTCTCTGTTTGTCTCTGTCTGTCTCCGTCTCTGTCTGTCTCCGTCTGTCTCTGTCTGTCTCTGTCTGTCTCTGTCCGTCCGTCCGTCCGTCTGTCTCTGTCTGTCTCTGTCCGTCCGTCCGTCCGTCCGTCTGTCTGTCTCTCTGTCTGTTTCTCTCATGCACATAACAAACCAGTCATGACAAGTAACCAATCAAGACTTGAACGATAGCATGATAAATCTTACCCAAGCAATCAATGTTAATCCGCTCCTCTGTGGCAACTCCCCTTCTGTAACCATGATACAATGGCTGACCATCGAAGAGGTTGCCGGACGCAAACAGAAAGTAATGATCACCATGGATGGCAATGTCCGATGTGTCCGAACTCTGACACGGTATAGAGAATGAGATCTCTACAATGTTGCCAATGCGACGGCCAGTTGGAGCAATCACCTGACTGCTAGCATCAACCTCTGGTCTAGTGAAAGCATTCGCAAATCTACAACGATGCAGTTGTGACAGGAAGAAGAGAAGGATGATGTAATCTTGAAGTTCACACAATCATTCACACCAAACCAACACATTGGATCAATAACACAATGCTATATACTTGATGGGTAAAGCTCACATTTCTAGGCAACACTATTGCTGATGTACAGACTGATGTTGTCAATCGTCCTGGAGTATGCCGTCAACATCAGCTGGGGCTTTTTATAGACTTACCGATCTTGTACTTGGACACCAGACTCAGTGAGGTAGCCTGTAATTATGTCACTATTGATCTGTACAAAAAATAGCATATGAAGCACACACAGGCAGACAGTCAGGCTCTCTTCTCTACATAACAATGCCTTCTGACATCAATGAATCATTTCTTCTGAAAAAGTCCAGTAACGTTAAAATTAATTATGTAACAAGGTCTGTCTCCTTAGGCCGCGGTCACACCAAACAAGCCGTTTTCAGCTTGCGCTGAAAGTGGCTTGTGCTGAATGAAGCGGTTGGTCGCATCAACCCATGTGATCCGCTGAATTTTTTTGCATGCTGTAGAGGTTTTTTCTTCGCGTCCATATTTGAATTTGATGTTTTTGAATTTTTAAATTAATTTTTATTTTCTGTTGAACATGGCAATCAGCAGAGTGTTGGTACTGTACTGTAAGCTTCATTGGAATCAGTGTGCTTGTTTGAAAGATTGAGGGGAGGGGGGGGGGGGGGTTGAGCTTGTAGTGCAGCCAGGTATCCTGAAACTAGACTCCGCGCCGTTGTCTGCAACTTGCTCTGCACCGACATCCTGGTTCGCATGCTTCTATCGCATAATAGTTTCCCTTGTCTGACGCTGACAAACCAAATCGTACCTCGTAGAAAGCGCACAAGGAAAGATGAGGACAATAACAGACAGCAGGCAATGAGAGAAGTTGGACCAACAACGAAACAAACCGGAATATTTCAGAACACGATGCATCCATGGCAAGATGTGCTTTGGATTTGCACGATTTTTTGTTTTTTCCGCCGCTGCGCCAGAATGGCTGAAAGTGGCTGAATCCATTCAGCGCTCCATTCAGCGCTTTGAAAACGGCTGAAGCCCTGAAGCCGAAAATTCAGCCGTTTCTGTAGCAACGATGACGTGAAAAAGGCGCTTTTTCCGCTGAATGGCTGAATCGCGCTTGGTGTGACCGCGGCCTTACGGAAAGTTCAAATCACCCTCTTTTGTCCATGCTTGGTGTGACCGCTGCCTTACGGAAAGTTCAAATCACCCTCTTTTGTCCATGCACAGAGAGACTAACAGGCAGATACCACATTTACGCACACATGCTCACATGCTCACATGCTCACACACACGCATGCTCACACACACGCACGCTCACTCCTCCTACCCCCCCCCCCCCCCCCCCTCTCTCTCTCTCTCTCTCTCTCTCTGTCATACGCACACGCAAATATTCACATTTATTACTGGCTCAGTATCAGAGTTAAAATTTTGCAAGTATTTTCATTTGTACTTTCTAATTGCCAAAATAATATTGGTCACGACGACGTCTCCAGGAGAACACCCACGAGCCCCTAAACAACGATGATTCGTGACAAATAGAGATACACAAATCCATAGTGTCAAAACTGCACACACTAACCATCCTCCGATCATCAGATATTCCAAATCCAACGTAGTCACTATCACTGGTACGTATGGTGAACCTGACTTCTTCCTTGCTGCGGTCTACATCCCAGGCTGCCTCTACGAAGTCACTCGTGAACATCGGCGTGAAACCTGCAATGAAAACACGCGAAAACTGGTCACGGATATGGAGTGAACTTTGACTCCATTGACAAGCACAAATATCAAAGAAGTGGTTCAACAATGATCTTATCACTCACTACAGTCCAAAGATGGGCCCTGACTGTGGCAAGCTACCGTATTTGGCAATTTTTCATAATTTTATCATACACGGTGCAGTGCCGCGAAATTTGAAATGCGAAAAGGGTCCGAAAAAGGTACCTCAACTGGGGTTTGTACCGCACAATGTACTGTTGCAAGTGGAGTGAAATGGCCTGGATTTTCATGGTTTTTTCCCAATTCAGTGCTTTTGGGGCAAAACCTGGCCGAAATCCTATTTTTGTCACCGCTTGATTTTTGAAGAAATAGACTTGAGAAACATAATTGGAAGAGGATTTCTTTGGGGATCGCAGAAAAATTGTTAAAAAAACTCAAAGTTTGACCCATTTATGGCCAAAAGCTAGAAATCCTTCTTTTTGTGAATGGACTGTAGTTGCAGTGTACTGTTGAGCCAGGACACCACATCTCAAGTCAATGCTCAGTACTGGGCAACAGCAGCTAATGCAAGCATTCTGAGTAGCAATAAATGCTTGTTTTAGTAAACTAGCAATACAAAGCAGCATATCTGCAGTAAACCGGCATAATGGATGCTTTGAAGGTTTGATGCCATCCAACAGTCGAGCGGAAACTGGTCACATTCACAGTCCGCGGCTGGTCATGACCAAGTCGTGGTGACTCCCCTGTTGTCTGAATGTCCCAACCACAGCTGGCCGTAGCTGGCACTGCTGCGCTGCATACAGTATACTGGTGGATCTACATGGCACGTTTGTCCATGTAGGCGAACATCTCGTTACACTGCCGTGTTGTTGCACGAGTCACAAATGCTACGTGTTGCGAGCGCCGAAGCTCCAGTAGTCAGCTTCCGCTGCAGCAGCTAATACACCGCTTTCTAGGTTCTACTTCTTGCAGAGCTGCAAGCTTCAGCGCGTGTTCCTCCTTTCAAGACAACTTAATCTAGTCACCTTAGTTCTCTTCTTCCTTCCACTGTAGTCCAGACGCTCGATTGTTAAACAAAGTTGATCTGATTGATGTCCGCCCAAACTAACCGATGGCTGCTCCTTGGATAGCAAATGTGTGTGTCGATGGTGTTTCCATGATTTAGCGGTATCAGCCAGGTGAAGATGATGCCAGAGGCAGTTCTGATGGTGACCAGTCATAAATGGTTGGAAACGAGTCGGACCCACACCAATCGATAACACTAAAGCAGGAAATTTTCGCCAAAAGCGAACGGAGCTTGTATCGCCCCCAAGATCATTTGAGTGGACCTCAAGAACCAACCCAAACAAGGACAAGAGTGAATAAAGGATAATCTATGGAGGTTGTGCACATCAGCCATTACCCCAGAACTGCTGAGTTCCCTCAAGACTTTCTGACCATCTCTGCTGGAAAGTTGTTTTGTGAAGTATGTCACATCGTAATGATGTCACATCGTAATGATGTCACATCGTAATGATGTCACATCGTAATGATGTCACATCGTAATGATGCCAAACAAACAGAAGAAGTACAGTAAAGACCATATAGCTTCGGAGCAACATGGCCGCTCAAAGCAGCAGAAAGAGAAAGCTAAGGTCCATCAAACGACTCTATCCGTCTCATGGAAGCAGTACCAGGAGAGGAATTGTGAACAGCTAAAAATGCACAAGCCTCATCAACGCCATGGATGACACCACTATTCAGCATCGTGCCAATGTTGTGGAGCCAATGCTAAAAAAATGGAATCGTGCTAAAAAACGTTGGCCTTAAGCGAAGGTCCCTGGTTCGAGTCCTGGTGGTGACAGTCAATTTTTTCTCCAGACTTTTCCCTTTTCCATTCCCTCAACCAGTGAATATTTAGTGCTAACAAAAGTTGACCACATGCGACCATTGCTGGACGCAAACAATGCAATATGGACATACAGTGGCCACGTAGCACAAATTATTCCATTCCTGCGGGAGAAAGAACAAGCTAAGGAGAAGGAGGAGGTCAATGCCAGTCATACCGTGGATGTGTGATACGAGCATGCGTGACACGTGACTCTCGAATCCTGTCTTTTCAGTCTTCTTGTTCGCCCCTTTGGTTGCAGTCACTGTTTTCCGTCACGTCTTAGCTCGAGTCCCAATGTAACTTAGTATGTGAATAATAGCAATATGTGAAGCAAACAAATACTTGCCCTCTGCTGGTGGTGGAGTGGTTGTTGGAAGAGCTGCTGGAGTGGTTGTTGGAAGAGCTGCTGGTGTGGTTGCCGGTGGAGGTGCTGGGGTACTTGCCCTTTGAGCTGTACCCACATACATGCACAAAAGTCAGGCAAGAATTGCACAGTCTTAAGACGTCCAGGTTTAGCTGCCGTAATTCATGATATGTACACATGCACATACCGTATGTCCGCACCTTCAAAGCCATGGCGGAATGTTTGATATGTGTTATTACAATGAGTAGTAGGCAACGAGCGGGTTCTACCACAGGGGGCGCCCTGCCCCAACAAATGTACACAATACATATTTTCAATAACACCCCATTTTTGGGGGGCAGGGCGCCCCCTGTGGTAGAACCCGCTCGTTGCCTACTACTAATGAGTCGCAAATTTAACGATTGTCAAAAAATCAAGAGGTTAACAAGAAGACATATTCACAATCTTGTAGTCTGCACGCATATCCGTACAATAAAACATGAGGCAAAATAATCTGACCAGAACTTACTATAACGAAGAAATCTTACCCACGCAATCAATGCTAATCCGCTCCTCTGTGGCTATTCTCCTGGAGCCATGATACAATGGCCGGCCGAAGGATAGCTTGCCGGACGCAAACAGAAAGTAATGATCACCATGGATGGCAATGTCCGATGTGTCCGAACTCTGACACGGTATAGAGAATGAGATCTCTACAATGTTGCCAATGCGACGGCCAGTTGGAGCAATCACCTGACTGCTAGCATCGATCCGTGGTTCAGTGTAAGCTGCTGAATATCTACAAAGATGTAGTTGTGACAGGAATAGAGTAGTCTTGAAATACACACAATCATTCACACCAAACCAACACAAATGATCAGTAACGCAATGGTGTACAATGGATGGCTGTAGCTCACTTTTTTCAGGCAATATTAAACTAGTAATGGAGATGTACAAACTGATGTTGTCAATTGTCCTCGAGTTCACCATCAATATCAGCTGGAGCTTCGTGCAGACTTACCGATCGTGTACTTGGACACCAGACTCAGTGAGGAAGCCTGTAATTATGTCACTATTCCTCTGTCCATAAAACAGCATGAGAAACACACACACACAGGCTCTTCTCTTCTTCTACTAATTGTCAAATACGTGTCATGTGGGTCGCTCCACAAGAGGGTCAACGCCCACGAGCCTCCAAGAAATGATGTTTTGTGATAAATAGAGCTTAACATATTATCCATTTGGTTAGAGCATTGCTGGCCTCAAGCCAAGGTCCCTGGTTCGAGTCCTGGTGGTGAGATTCATTTTTTTCTTCTTCAGACTTTTCCCTTTTCCATTCCCTCAACTAATGAAAAGAATTATCAATATCGTCTACGGAAGTGACCTCGCAGTGGTGATGGTTGTGTACAGGAGGGTCTAGTCGGCTAAAGAGCGCAGTGTAATGGGGCAGGTGACTCAACATTTTCTTCATGGCCGAGAGCTCTGTCGCAACCTGGAATAATGAATAGACAAATTCATAATTTCAAATTGTAACAACTGCACACACTAACCATCCTCCGATCATCAGATATTCCAAATGCTACGTAGTCACTATCACTGGTACGTATGGTGAACCTGACTTCTTCCTTGCTTCGGTCTACGTCCCAGGCTGCCTCTACAAAGTCACTCGTGAACATCGGCGTGAAACCTGCAATGAAAACACGCGAAAACTGGTCACGGATATGGAGTGAACTTTGACTCCATTGACAAGCACAAATATCAAAGAGGCGGTTCAACAATGATCTTATCACTCACTACAGTCCAAAGATGGGCCCTGGCTGTGGCAAGCTACCGTATTTGGCAATTTTTCATAATTTTATCATACACGGTGCAGTGCCGCGAAATTTGAAATGCGAAAAGGGTCCGAAAAAGGTACCTCAACTGGGGTTTGTACCGCACAATGTACTGTTGCAAGTGGAGTGAAATGGCCTGGATTTTCATGGTTTTTTCCCAATTCAGTGCTTTCGGGGCAAAACCTGGTCGAAATCTTATTTTTGTTACCGCTTGCTTTTTGAAGAAATAGACTTGAGAAACATAATTGGAAGAGGATTCCTTTGGGGATCGCAGAAAAATTGTTAAAAAAACTCAAAGTTTGACCCATTTATGGCCAAAAGCTAGAAGTCCTTCTTTTTGTGAATGGACTGTAGTTGCAGTGAACTGTTGAGCCAGGACACCACATCTCAAGTCAATGCTCAGTACTGGGCAACAGCAGCTAATGCAAGCATTCTGAGTAGCAATAAATGCTTGTTTTAGTAAACTAGCAATACAAAGCAGCATATCTGCAGTAAACCGGCATAATGGATGCTTTGAAGGTTTGATGCCATCCAACAGTCGAGCGGAAACTGGTCACATTCACAGTCCGCGGCTGATCCGTTGTTGTGTGGAGTGAATGTTGAACTGCATTTTGACATACATATCATATACATGTAGTGGGAGAGAGGCGACCCCAGGGGCGGTTGTTTACTTCGACCAGCTTCTCGGCGATCTCTTCTGCGACTCTGATCTTGATTCGTCAGTCGCCACATCGTGAACGACTGCGAGAGAGATCAGTAAACTGGACGAAGCGATGCTGGTGCTGATGCACGAGTTTCTGGATGACGCATTTGCTAAAATTCTGCCCAGGAAACAGCGACTGCAGCGATTTCAATCCGCCAGAAGGCAATCAAGAACGATCGCCCAGGAGTTTCTTGAGCTCCGTGACAATTCTCCATCGTATTGGGGTTTTGATATCAGCACCAGGCCGTCTCTGTGTTGCGCGTGAAGCAACAGGAGTCCTCAGATGCCGAAATTTGGACGCGAAACGCTTTAGTCGTCTAGGATTCTGAGGCGCTGCCTCCTTTGGAGTTCGAGCCATTCCTTCTTCAACATCACAAATCGACAACTGAACGACAGTGTTAGGTAGCTGTAAAGTATATTCCGTCCTGAGATTATTGAATTTTTTTGGTAGATGTTCAAAGCGAAGCGCACATTTTAATAAGTCGGACCAAGTAAATGTATTTACAATTTATCTGAATAGCATTTCCATCAACTGATTCAGGACTATGATGACAGAGCAAAAGCATTATCTACAAAAACAGTTTTCTGTCAAACCCGGAAAATCTAACGAGTCACAAAGTCTAACGTTTTAACAACCAATTTTTTCGTTATTTAAAGAAACGTTAAGAGAGCATGTCTGAGAATACCAAAGTATGTGTGCAAGTGGATCTCTCCGATTTCGCTCAAAATTTGCAGGTAGGTTCCCTTTGGGGTGTGGATCGATTATGCAAAGCCCTTGAAAAAGTTTCTGAAGGGAACCTTGAAATTTGCATACCCCTCAAAAATGGCCGAAATATCACATTATTTATGGGTCTAGAAACGAGTCACGCCACAGCGTATACGAACAAGCTATGAACAAAACTCCATCAAGCCAACATTGCCTCACCTTAGAAGAGTTCCTGGAGCAGTACCGCTTAGCCACGCCAGCATCCCAGAAGACGAGGTCCATCACCCCCTGACGCCACAAATGATCGTCTTGAAAATAGCCAATTTACAAGCGCTGGCAAAACAGCCAGCTACGTCCTCAATTGGCCAGAACTATACACCGGCAGATAGTAGAACACCTCTTCTAGCGCTGAGGACATGTCCCCCATCTTCCTTTTGGGGTTTTCTTGAAATAAACATTTTTGAATTTTTCCACTCGACCATGCTGAAATACGGCCAAAGTCATACCTGCGCAGGAAAGCTCGCCACTCCGCGACGTCTCCTCAGCAATTTCTACTCCAACAATACTCCCAAGGCCGCAGAACAACGTGTAGTGTTGACTCTGACAAGGAAAAGCAGCGGTGATCACTTGTCACTCCAAACGACAAGCTTCTCCTTGCGCCACCAATAATTTTTTGTGCGACTGTTGCTGCAAAAGTGACTGAAGGCCTGAGCGCAGTTTTTGAATTTTATTGCAAGATGCACGGTGAAATCACGTGCCTTGTGACGCAAGAATGCCAAGTCGCGTGGCCCACGGCTCACGCGAATTCAGAGTCACCTTTGTCAAGTGCGCTTGTTACTCGCCTTGAACGCCCGCTGGTCTGGAAGTGATCACACTTGTGTTGTTACGGCGCTCAAGAACACGTTGACCGTGTTGTAGGCCGACGAACCGGGACTTTCCCTGACCATGTAGGTCGAAGACCA